AGTTTTTATTTATTTATTTGTTTAATTTATATGCCGCCCAACTCCCCCAGAGGGTGACTCTGGGCGGCTCACAATTAAAATCCAAACGGTAAAGACAGTAAAAATATAAATATCCATATTAAATTAGCTAAAAAATAATTCTATATAAAGACTATATGCAACTGTTCAACGAGATGGGAGGTGACAAATTTGATATATAAATAAAATAAAATAAATTTAAAAACCACTGAAACCACTGGTTTTTTTGAAACCATTGTGCTTCTTCAGTAACACTGAAAGCCGCTGCAGAAACAAACAGTTTACTAATAGGTGAACATTACTAAAGTGGTTTGCTTTGTGTCAGGCAAACTTCCAATCAATCTACATATTTAATGAATAAAAATGCAATAACGGGACAAATTAAGAATTCCTCTCCAGAAGAAATGCATTCTTCTCCCATCTATAAGCTCAAAACACTTCTTAAGGCAGAGGTGGTTCTAGGTCTAGGCAACCTAGGCAATTGCCTTGGGTGCCAAATTTTAGGAGGTGCCAAAATTGAAGAGACTTTTGAAAAATACAATAAAAAAGCGAAAAGCGGTAACGGCGCACTGTGTGTGCCAGTGCAACCGCTTGAGGGTTAAATATAATTTTGTTGCCATATGACAACAATGGATGCTGATGTAATTAAAATTATTTACTGTGATTCAGCCCAAGAAAAGAAAAAAAATGTCCAGGGCTGAAAATTATAAGTATAAAGCTCAAAAACTCATAGAAAAAAGGAAACAAGAGGGTGCCTTTTTGCAATTCCTAACAAAATCAGAAAATGAGCTAAGCCATAGGGGGCACCAGAATATGACTTTGCCAAAATGTCTAGAGGCGGCCCTTCTTAAGGACAAATCTGATCCAAAATACACAGTAACTGTAAACATGAATAAATGCTGCCTAACTGATATTCAGAGGTTCCAACGAAAGTATAATTCACTATAAATTCTATGAACAAAATAGAAACAACACTTTTCAACACCTGGAAAACTTAAGGAAAAACAAAACAAAACATAGATAAAATGTTGGAAGCATTTGCCTACTTTTCCTCTGCTGATTTTATGTATGTATGTATATGTTTTAAATGTAAGATTATCTATCTATCTATCTATCTATCTATCTATCTATCTATCTATCCATCCATCCATCCATCCATCCATCCATCCATCCATCCATCCATCCCCAATACCCGAAGCCTTCAACCTGACAATTTACATAGGCTTTATTCAGGATTATCACTGTTCTCTCTAACCCAACACCTTATTAAAAGGCTAGATCAAGACATAAATGTAATAATAAAAATGGTTAATCTGAAATCCTCAAACCAGCCTATTTATTGGAAGGGTGCAGAGGGACTGGAGAGATTTTTAACATGGCCTGTACCCCAGGGCTGGATAACGAATATGATTTAAAACTGAATGTCTGTTAAGGTATTATATTAAATTTAAAATTATTCCATACACATCTATGCCTGCACGAAAAATATTTTTAAAACTTACAGGTGGTGACGTACCTCAAACTGCAGTAAAGAAATCAACAATCAATCAGCAGCTCTAGGAAGAAAAAGTATTTTCCAATATGTACCAAAACACTTTTATAAGGTCAAATAAATACCCTTGGAAATGGGTATACATGACCATCACAGGTTGAAAGTACAGGCTTGTCCCCAAGAATTAAGTCATATACAGAAGATCATGCCAACAGCTTCATACCTTCAGCCACTTAACCAGTTATGATCTTTAGACAATCTTAGACATCTTCTCAAGTCATCAGGAATGCAGGGCAGTGGGGGGCACCCAAGTTTGCAAAACCACTTGATACTGATTTGGTATACACATGACATATCCATTTCAGGTCCAACAGGTTGATAAATACTTCAAAAAAGGCAAATTTGCTTTACCTCTTCTCTTCTTGAACCGGCAGATGAATAAGATCTCAGAAATAAACGGCATATAGTTTTATCTAAAATCTATAATCAAAGACAATATAGATTCATGCATTACATTATGCCATGGTTTCTTTTAGGCATGACTTGTAGAATTGGCTAGAATGACTTAGTTCACATGTAACTTATAATTTATGTACTACAGTGGTTGGCTTCACATACCAAACAAGCCACACATGAGTTTAGGATGGTCCATGAACATAAACACTGTTCAGTGTGAAAACATGCTTTGTTGGACAACTGATAGCAGAAGAGTCATCCCTGAGGGTCCAGGAGTTAAGTTCAAGGAGCTATGTTTACACATAAATAACATTTTGTGACTGAGACTGAACATGAAGGTTGTAATTATATTTTTTAGGCCTTTCTGGTAAATGCAAGTTAGTCTGATAAGCCTTGAAAGGAACAGGAGGAATGTACAGAGTCCTTCTACTAAACAAGAGTACTTTGCCAGACAGGTTTGATAACTCTACTGTCCTGTCAACGACCATGATGGGTACTGCAGAGATAAGCCTGAGAAATCACTGAGAGCTAGATTTAGCTCTGCAGAACTTTCCAAGGACATTCTAATTAACAGTTTGAAAGCAATGGGGATTCAAAATGCCTCTATTGCCCTACATTTCTTTACCACCAAATTCTCTAGCCACTCAGACCTGGAATTTTCCAACCTCAATATCACAGTACTGCTGGCATTAAACTTTTTCCTGAGACGGAATATGAAGGAAAAAGGTGGGATTGGTGTGGGATGCACCACCTTCTTCTGCCATTCCCTGTCAGAAATGGATACGGGAATTGGAGTGAGGATAAAACCAAATATTGTCATGCAAGAAAAAATAAGAGTGGAGGCATAGGAGAGAGGACACCAAGGAGAGAGATTAAAAAAAAAAAGTCTGAAAAGAGGTAATTACTACAGAAGTGACAGCAAAACAAAATTTTAAAAAACTATTAGGTTCTATCAAACTGAAATAGGAAAGTGCTTTTCCCAAGGAAGAGTAAGGGACTTATTTTGGCCATGCCTTCTGATTGGAAGTAGAGTAAACCCTTTTTTCGGCTGGTCTCCTATCCCTTGAACAAGATGCCTGCTTAGAGTGCACAGATCTGCTACCAAAGTATCTAGCTTGGTCTTTGGAAAAAGAGTTGGTAAGCTGGTTCCTGCAACGTAGGCCTCAGATTCCTAAAGATGGGATAACTATTCATAAATACTTCATTCAACCCACTCTTACCACTAAGAGTAGTAAGCGTTGCTATGCTCTCCATTAAACTTGTGACAAATCCAGCCAGCCAGATTTCTTTTCTGACATTGCAAACTCAAGCAGTTTTGACCATTTTTTACACTCTGCAAGAACTGGTGAAATACACACTCCTGAACCAGAGAATGTTAAACATCTGCTTTTATCTTCCAGAAGTGAAGGGGACTGGGAGGGAGGCAAGCAACTTGAACTCATTTTCAAAAATGCTGAGTATTTCATGGCTACGGCCTAAACCAGTAAGAATTCCAGCTGAAAACTAATCTGGAGATATTATAATATTTGTATTTTATTAATAGAGCAAAAAGAAAAAAAAAGAAATCAAAAGCACTTAACAGTGAATACAACAGACACACATTCACTCAGACCAAGGTTTTTGTGCACTTACTAGTAGCTTACTATGTTGACTTCTTTATTAAATAAAAGTGACAGGCTGAATACTGCACAGCTGTTGAAGTCACAGGTCTTTCCAGAGAAAAGAATAAAGGTTCTATATTCAACCCAATCTTACACTGGGTGTTAAACATACAATCAAATACAGTCATAACCTGTATTATGACTGCTTACCAATACATTTGCAACTGTCAAAACAAAAGGTCTTGTTGCAAAACAATACTGTTACATCAGTTAACCCTGAAGAGAGCAGACACAGACAGAAATATAGTCAGATTGTCTCCTTTTTCAATTTATATTTCAGTGGAAAAATGGGGCAGCTTTTTTTTCCATCCAGCCTTGCTTTTTTGTATCAGCTATGTACTTCTTGTTCTGCCAGACTGCAAAACAGCTTGCAAAAAGGGGACATAAACAGTCCTTGCATCAATCATTGCAGAGGCTTCACAACAACCACAAAAAACATTGGTCACTGCTTGCTGCAACCAGTGGCGATGATGGCTATGAAACTAGGATTTTACATGAGGAAGGGGGTATATTTTGTATCCAATGCACTGCCCCCTCAATGCCGAATACAGTGATTGATAAATTTGCCATCTTTTGTTTAAAAAGCCACGAGGCTATTACACATGTCACCAGAGCTTCCCATTCTGATAGGGCAGAATGCACGCTCAACAAACACAGCTCTCCCAACCCCTCAATGGCTGAGCCAAAAGAACTTTACACAGGAAACCCTCATTCTCCTCTTAATGCATCGAATGTTCACCATTACAGTAAAACACCCTAAACCGGCCGGATTGTATTTCCTTCTACGGATCGAAGGCTGAACTTACTGCCAAGACAGAGAAGATGTGACAAAGGCGACCGCAGGCCCTTCCCCCTTGTTCTTTTTATAAAAAAAAAAAAAAAGATCTAGGAGAGCAGAGCCAACACCAACCCCACAGTTGCGCCTGGTCTCATTTAAAACCGCTCTCACGGTCCGGCGTCAATTCAATTCCCCTCCTCCAGCGCCTCCCGGCTACAGCCGGTTTGCTCTGATGCGCCTACTTTTCGCTCTGCTTCCCGAGCGGCACCACCATTGTCTGCGAGGCTCCCTGGGTCGTGATACAGTCGCTCAGGTGGCTGCACGGGCGAACAAAGAGCAGCCGGCGCTTACAGGCTGGAATAAGCCGGTCCCGGAAAAGCCCACTCACTGGGAAGCCCCAATCGAGGAAAACAACGTGCCTTTTACCTCCGCCCTTCGCCTCTTCTCCCTCCCGCCCCTACAAACCAGACTTGTCAACTGCGCATTTGCGCCGGGCAGCACCGAGACTTGCGCTGAGCAAGCAGGCAGCACGGCGGGCATATGTGTGTGTGCGCGCGCGCGCACCTACACACACACAACCGAAAAAGGGCCAAGATGAAAGGCGGCTTTGGAGTAAGGGGGAAATAAATGACTCGGCAGGCAGAAGCCCCGCCGCTCTCGCGTGCAGAAACGGGGCCGCTGGCTATTCAGTCTCCCGCTTCGTCTCCTCCGTACCTGACAGAGCCGCGCTCTTCTTTACACCCTCTTCTTTCCTAGTGTGGCTGAAAGCTGCAGTTTCCTGGCGGATCAGGGAAAGCTGGGGAAGGAAGCGAGCCCAAGAATCACTCAGTCATTTTGGTCAGTCCTGCAGAGACGCGGGGGCCTCCTGGAAGAAAGAAGAGCGGGGTAGGGTGTCAGGCTGTGCTCGGCAGCGTGGACGCGCCTAGTCAGCGCAGTGCTCCCTCCATTTTCTCCGCCAAGGCTCCGCCGATGTTCTTTTCGTATCCATCACCTTCCTAGCAAACCGACTGCCCGCGTCAGCCGCCCAGCGCCCTGCTAAACGCGTATCCTTGACTGAGACATTCCCACGCTCTCACCCCCATCCAGCACCGAGTTTGAGATGGGCACCCCTGAATTTCTTGTAAAGTCCGCAAAGTTTTCCTCGTCTGGCGCCGCTGCTTACCTCCCTCGCGCTAGACCTCCAACCCAGGTTCATTCACATCAGCACCTCGCTGGCTGATGTGAGGCGGGAACTAGGAGCCTTCGACGTATTACAGAGAAGGGCTGTTGTCAACGGGCCCCCCGTTTTGCAGAAGCCAGGACAGCGGGACGCTGCCTCGAAGTAACTATCTGCTTGCATAATCTTTTTTTTTTTAAAAGAAAAAAAAATCTATTGTTCCCGAGGCAGGATTGGCCGCCCGCTGCTGTACTAAAGAGCTCAAACTTCACGCCACGCTAATACTCCGCTCAATTCCCATCCACACGTGGGTTAGAGCGGACCTTATTAACTCTGGATGCCTCCCGAGTATTTCATCTCAGAGTCAACGCTCAAAAACAGCGCTTCCTCTCCTGTTCATCATCGAGGCAAAACACTTCACAGGTTCAGTTTTATTAAGGAACCCTTTGAACGTCGCTTTGAACATTGCCCCACTCGAAACCTCTCCTCCTTGCCACAGATCTGAAAGGGGTCTGGCGCGGGTTCATAACTGTTTAGGCTAAGCGGCCACGTTAATCACGACAGGCTGGGTTAAAATGGAAGCAGCAGCCTGAAATAAGTTTTATTATTACTATTATGTATACGCTGTGATCATCTCCCTGTCGCACCCATCTGCAGCTTATCTCAGAAACAATTGTCTGCAATTCAACAACCGCTCAAGGTTATTCATTCCTCCAGTATTGTGGACAAGATAAGACTCTATGCAGGAAGTTTCACTGACATGCAGGGGAACAGCGCAAATTAACTACACTTCCTGTTTGTTGGATGTAACTCCGAGTTCTGGTTCTTACTGAACACGTGAGGGAAACGTCATTCTACACGAATATTTCGGAAGGTAATTTGTTAGTGCCACGTAGTGATCAGAGCTGAATCAGCCATCTGTTGGGAATATCCTTTCTATCTTCAGTCCCTTTCTGACACCCTCTCCCTTTCCAAATAGGCTGCAGAATTGGGAGAGAGACTTTGTGGTGTAGCCCTTGAAATGTTGAATTAGGAGCAGGAAGACCCAGATTCTAGACTATCTTCAGGCAGGGAAACAAGCTGAGTGACTTTTGCTGAGTTGATCTCTCTCGGCTCAATCTACCTCACAGGGATGAATAGGAGGGAACACTCTATACAACTTCTTGAGCTCCTCTACACAAAGGCACGATACAAATGTTATTTTGGTGCCTTCAAGTCAGTCTTAACTCCTGGACAAGTCCCTGCAGTTTTCTTGGCAAGATTTCAGAAGTGGTTTGCCATTGTCTGCTTTCTAGGGCTGAGAGACAGTGACTGGCCCAAGTTCATCAAGCTGGCTTTGTGCCTAGGTGGGACTAGAACTCACTGTTTCCTCATTTTGAGCCTGATGCCTTAACCACTATACCAAACTGGCTTTCCGTAACATAATAGTCTACACATAAAACTACAATTTGCCCACTTTGTGCCCTACATGTTCACACAGGAACTGGCTGTGCATACACAGAAAATGCCTTCCACAAGATTTTCCAGAGTCGCCATGTTCTTCTATCCATACATGGAACAGAAGCATTTAAAATGTTCACAGCAAAAAGTTTTTACTGTCAGCCATAAGCTGTGACTAATGTGCAATTATTACTTTAATCCAAGTTGGTGTGCTTCTGAACCAGGAGCCAGACTCTCCTTTTTAAATGTTGATGTTTATCACTTTAAATGTCTATGTTTATAAAACATTTACATTCTTCTGTACTAATTGAATACAATTTAAAAAGCAGCAGGGTTTCTCATCCTAATGGATAGAACATAATGAGTGGATAGTTCAAGAGCAATGAAGTTGTACAAACATTCAGAAAGTTAATTTAGTTTTTTTTTTAAAAAAAGCTCACTACTGCCATGAATATGACCCAGCTTTTGAGGCATCTCTGCATCATAAAATATTCTGAGTACAATCCTATTCACCATGCAGGGAGCAAGGTCCATAATCAGGCACCTAAACGAACTTGAATATATCAACAGAGCAAGAAACAGGAAGCCTGGCTACTTTAAATCTGCTTTGTTCACTCCTGGGAAGCAGGAAAAAAGCTCATACAGCTATAGGACTACCAGAACTTAAGACTCCTTTCCCTTCCACCATTTGGCTTGCTTAGACCTCCTGCTCTTCTGCTCCACACTATCCCTTTGAACAAGCAAAAATCTTACTCTTGTTGTGGGAAGAACAGCTATTTCTGCACGATCACAAATCCCAACGTAGAGTAGAAGGCCTTACATTATAGACGTGACTGCTGTACATTCATCAGGACTTGCACCTGCTACCCATTCTCCAAGCAGGGAGACTGGATATGCCCTCCAGTTGTGACAAGTACACAGTTGCATCTGGTAATGTGGAAAGTGGATACCTGCAGTTTTTTGTGCGTCTGCCACAAAAACCTAAGAGAGCTGCATTTTGTTTCATGTCCAGCAGCATCCACGGGGAGGGGAGGGGAGGGGTGGAGGATGCAGAATGACAAAAGCTGTGTTGTGCTGTAAGTCCTACCCCTTCGGCATGTGCATTGTGATGTTGCACATGTATCTCAAAAAGGCAGAGTTCATGGCGTGACTCTTATTATTTTCATGAAAGCAGGAAGCTCCTGTTGATACTCACGTCCCTACAACATGCTTTGAGAGTTCATGACCCTTTTCTCAAGATCTCTGTTACTCTCTTCTGCCTGCCATTACGGCTTCAAGATCCAGATTTTGTTTGATTTATAACCCACCTTTTGTTCAGGAACTCAAGCATGATACAGAATGTTTCCTCCTATTTTTCCCCATAGCAACACCTTGTGAAATGGACTGAGCTAAAGAGAATGACTGGTCCAAAGTCACCCAGTGGACTTTCACAATCAAAATGCACTTGAATCTGGGTTCCTCTGGTGCCAGTCCTTAACCACAAAATATATTAGCTCTTTAGCAAACATACCTGAGCTTAGGAACTTTTTATGCTCTTTAACTGAAAGTGCCTTTTTTTTCCTGACAAATCTTCACCTTAATTTTTTTGTTGCTGTTTGCACTATAGAAAGAAGTAGGTCACCGGGAGCCCCGAGTGACTATGGAATTAAAAAATCAGTTAAGTAATGTAAATGAAAATGCATTATAAGCAGTTGAGAACTAGAAATACACATATATTCTGGGGACTCTGTGATTATAACATTTCATAATATAATAAATATATTATTTCAAATAAATTCTCATAAGACAGGGACAACCAACCTGAGCCTGTTGTCAAGTTTAGCCCAAAGAACTCCAAGAGGCGATGCAAATTCAGTTCTACTGTGTTTATTAGCTACAACCTCTAGACAGAAAATCTCCCCA